AGATTCTCGTATTATGAGACTCACCTCTAGCTACGAAGATGCCTCATTATTTTAAAATTCGAAAAGCTTAACAAATAATCTAATAATCTCACTTCAACTGAATGTCCCTTACTAAATAAAAACACATGATAGAACCCTTAACATCAACATCCTTTTTTGTCCCTGTTACTGTTAGATTGAACGACCTCCATATGTGAATCGTTGTTTACAAAAGAAACACAAAAACGCTTTCGTCAAAAATGTCTCGCTTTCATAGAACCAGTCAATTCTCACTAAATATGTAATAAATTCCATATATTACAAGTCACGCCTCTGATTGCTAGACAAACTACTACTTTAAAATTCGAAAAATTTAACTGGAGTCATTTTCTTAACGAGCTTTTCAATTTTTATTTTCTACTTCAATTAATGCACCTCATAACCTAAACTCATTCTATTTTATGGCTGCTGACTTAACGTAATCAACTAACGGCGACGACGACGACAACGACGCCAATTAGATATAAATCGACAAAGAAACAAGAACACGAATCGTAAGAATATACAATGAATACGTTCGAACTAAATCGATCAATGTATGGAAGATGTCTATACTATCATCGAACCATCGATAAATGCAATCGATAGAACACTTACCTTGAAAGGCAGCCTCGAAGGTGGTCTTCTCCTCGATGGGGTTTTGGGCGAGCACCAAGACGACCGCCAGATGAGCAAGGATCACGAAAAATCGGCAAACACAAAGTTCAGCCATCGTCCTGCGATGTACATGCACGCGCTCGCCCCGATAATGTTCACTTTCGCATTTCTAGGAAATCAACCAACCAACTTCTTGATCGACTATCGATTGTCGCGCGAGTTTCACCGTCGCGTAGAAACGCACACTAAAAATCCACGTCTGATCCGAATCGGTCACTTCCCCCGATTTTAACGACCGATTCTACAATACAAATGAGAAAAAAAACGCGTATCAAAAGCACTGCATATGCAAAAACACCAAATAGCGCATATAACACTCCTTTCGTTTTTGTACTTTTACCGTACTTTCTTTTCTCTTTCTCTCTCGTGTGGACAGTACGAAGACACTCGGTCAAGTGTCTCGAAACACGGACGTTATACGACCGAAATTCTCTGAAGGTACTACGAGGTCGTGTCAAGAAGACGTATACACTGTATCGGGTATACTGCAACGATAACACGGCCACCGGCGCAAAAAGTGGACAATTGTCCGCCTTCCACTTTCAGCGTCCGTGTAAAGCGTATACACATCGAAGCACACCGGGCCAGCTACTATCGCGAATACACGACTATATACGCGGTACACGGTCGCATACTTTTAAGCTCGTGTCGTCCTTTCATGTACCATCTCTGTCCTCTCTATCGGATGAGGGGCTCTTTTCACCTCGCTTTTTAGTTTAACATTCGACTGCGCGCATAATGAGATCTCTTACCGATATTTACCGTACTTGTTACCCGTCAGCAAATGATCGGACTCTATTCTGCCGGTGATATTCGATGCAAATTCACTCGGTTACGTATGCATATCGATATCGATATGCATATATTATAACGAGACAGTTCAAAGAAAGATACATTTTTGTCCAAAAAAAGAGAGAAAATATGAAAGTCTAAAGATAAAATTTGATGAATTGGAATTTGGCTTCGAATCGAAATTATTAAAGAAGATTTAATTTTGATATTATTGAACGTACTTGACGCTTGTAACACATAATTGGAAGCTGTTATAAAAATTTTGGAATTAAAGAGAGAATAATAATAAAGCCCATTTAAACAACCAATTGTTATTCACTTACATTAATCACTATAAATTTTGCGATAACGTGTTTGTAAAAAGCGGGTAGAAAAGATCTCTAAATCGAAAGGCGAACCCGGCGGCGGGTCGTAAACGTTCGCGGCTACCCTCGAAAGCAAACTGAGAACTATGTATCTGAATTCAATACGGTTCTCCTTGACACTACCGAATGACTTAAGCTCAAACGTCAACTATCGACTGTGGTGAGTCTCGGCTAAACTCTCTCTACCTTCCTTAATCTTCATAAAGTTCAACGACCACAATCGAATCGCTTGAAACCATAGTTATGTCACACGAATCGAAACTACGCAAATATACGATCGACAGCGCCACGAGCAAACTGCCGCTGAAATATTTCAAATCTTTAATCTCAAATCTTTAAAATCTTGATATTAAACGCGTATGAATCATGCGTATACACCATATGTCGCGATATAATTATAATTATAAGATTGATTTAATCTTGAGACGATATCTAAACGCTCGCGAAGAAAACGTTTCGCCGCGATAGAAAAGGAAGGCAGACGAGAATGATGGGAAAAGAACAGAGAAAAGTAACGATCGAAAACGTTCGTTTGGTCGTCGTACCTGTCCAGAACAGTCTCACGATTGTTGTTCGACACAAAAGAAGGAAAGATACGATGGCTAGAGAGACTTTAGCACACACGCGAATCCGAAGGTGAAAGGAGCTCCGCAACAGCCGTCGACGCCGGCCGGTGTCTCCAATCGAACTGTGGGGGTTGGTCGATGGTGGCGCCGCCGAGGGACGCTGAGCGTCGCCGTGTGGCATGCGTCATAACGCCACCGCCTTCGATCGGCCGCCATTTTTTTTTTGGAAGCGCGTTACTAACCCCTTGAAAACATTCCACCCCAAACGCCGTTTCCCGATCGGAGCTCAGGAGCGTACGATTTTCGGGTAGCAGAAAAAATCGGTTGGAAATTTAACAATTATAATTTCTTCTATGTACAAGAATAAATTTCTTACTAGAATATTAACAGATTGTGGATGTTTATGCAGATATATATGTTTTTATAGTTTGGTAATAGAGTGAAACTTACAAAATTAATTTTGCTTCTAGGTTTTGATTACATACTATTTATTTTGTATATTTCACATATGAAATACGTTTCATATATTTGTGTACTTTAAATATACATATACAGAAGAATTAATTTTAGTCAAGCGATCGTTATCAATTTGATTTAACTATCAAATGACATAAAATAACAGTTATAAATAACATTTAAGGTATGTAATGAGTATAACTGGAAATAGGGAAAAAAATACGTATGTATACGTCAAAATGAAATATCATTTTGGAGCAAAATTTCAATTTTAAGTGTAGTTAGAATTTAAATTATAATGATGGCGTATGATTAATGAACGTCCCGTTGTTATAGTACATTTTCAATATACTTATTGCATAACCTTTACATACATTGCTGTATATCTACATACTTTTATATATTTTATCTGTATATTTTGACATATTTTAATTGCATAAACATTCACATTCTATACATTAACGTTACAATATACAAGAATATTTCATAGAATATATGCACGTCAAAATCTATTAATTTCGAATGACGCCATGAATAAATGTTCGTATCTCATACAAGGATTTAATTAGTAATAAATAATTCTCGAACTCTGCCGAAGATGGAAGATTATATAACACTTGTCAAAAGCTGAATGAATAGATTCAACATACACATGTTTATATAGTACACACTAATTGTACAGTCTATTCAAACCTATTATAATGTACATAATAATAAAGCGTAATAACGAACGAATTGAAGTACGCGGTTAACAATACCATAACTTGAGCATAACGATAGCATGGATGCTAAAAATGCTAAACTCCCTGAGGAGCTTTCTCTGCATGATATTTTCAATTTGAAAGGCAATGAGAGAGGGTTAAAACCAACGACAAAGCTTTCAATGTAAATGAAATAAATACTGGTGATGTACTTGACCTGCAACTTTCACTTATCGTTTAAATTAATTCAAATTTTGTTTAAACCGATTAACAACGGCCTCTTACAGTTAACCGAGTTCAACCACCGTGTCCTCTGTAGGATCTTAACAATAAACGGATAACTTTTCCTATAGAAAACTCGAAGCAGCGAAAATCTGGTACGAGTGTAGCGAAATAAAATTATAGCGATACGGTAAGGTTGAAAAAAGAACTTGCGCATTGTGAAAAACGCTGACAATGCTTTTATCTACATTTACGTATACGTATCTAATATCGTTTAGTACAATGAATTCAAGCCAAAAAGGTACTTTTGCTGAGTTACATTATTTCTCACACAACACACGATTCTGTATATACTTTTATTTATTAACAATCAATAACATATGAAAACATTATGATGTCGGTTAATTAAGCGCAATTCCATAATACTTCTACAAACTCTTATTTTCACTTATCTATAGAATAACACTTATCGTAGTACAAAATAAATCTAAACACGTGTAAAAATCGAAAATACATATGTTGTAAAAACTAATACTGTGAACGTTACATCATAAATATGGATAATCTGCGTATATCTTACCGATAAAGACGACTTAAATATAAAAGCACCTTACAGACAGAACTCTTTGAGAGCTTCTAACAACAATATATGTGTTGCGAATAATCTCGCAGATATAAACAAACTAATGCCTTCTTTCATATATAGAAAAAAATAAAATATGTTTTTATATTTTATGTTTAAGTTATACTCTTATTTTGGACGGACATTTGTACGAATAATTTGCACGAATACTTATTCAATCAATTATCAGAAGTCAGTCTACCAAGTAAAAGGAAGCGAAGATTGAAAATATGCGAAGATATTTAAGGTCGATGGGAGAATATATCGAATCAATGTAGTTAGATATTCTACGTACTGCCGCTTGTAACATGATATGATATATCATTTATTATACTTCTACTATGAGAAACTTCAAACTATGTACTTTTCAACATTCGATGTATCAAACAATATAATATGTATTATCATATAACTCACATTTTGGAGTTATCTCTGTAAACGATAATTTATCTCGATTCGATGCTCATTTACATATATATAAACAGTCACTCGAGGACATACTCAATGCGAAACAGTTTGTAACTTATTGTAATAATATTCCTGACTGAATCTCATGCACAGTTTATCGCTACACGGCAACTTAATAATTTTTAATGTTGTTCGTGAAGGTAACCCATGTGTCTTCTATAGGCGCCAGTACGGTGATTACAATGAGAGCTGCGGTGAATAGGACGATCACGACGAAATATATACCGAAGATAAATTTCCTGATTCCAGCGTGCTATCGAACAGAATGAGAAATGAGACGGTAAAGATTTTCAGAGATTCTCGGCGCACCGCGCCGATTCTTATTAGCAAGAAACTTACAGGAGCATCCTGTCTTGCATCCGGATGGACCATTGAACCACGAGAGTGCATGTCTTTCATCGGAAATGAATTCACCCTCTGACTCGCCTGTCTGTCAGAGGCACATCCAACGAACTATAACATACATTGATTTCCTTCGTTACATAACGATCCTCTATAAATATCCGACTTAGTACCAAAGCTGATCCAGATTTAGAGCTTTGCCTGTCTCGAAATCGCGCTTGTATAATTAAAGAGATTTTCAACAGTGGTCTGCATAATCAAATATGAAATATATTAGACATGATATGGAACTACTAATTGCATACGGGATCAAAGAGAACTGATTCCTCTAAAACATTAATAATCCATGGCGAATTAATTCGAAACTTTATGTCGTTAGTAACTATCTGAATATTAAAAACGACAAATTATAGCTTGTAGTGAAATAGGAATATTATATAATAACTATAATCAAAGTGAACTTATTTTTCATTTACAGATGGATATTGTCGAAAGCGTAGCAACAAAATAGCACGGTATTTGAACAAGTTTGTCAAGGTTAATTGGAGCAGCAGATAAAAAAGAACCATTAAAAAAAAGAAGTTAACCTTGAGACAGTCTTGACACATTTAGTTGTTCTTTTGTAAAATTCCAACTACCACCCTCTTTCAGTCTATTTATTCGACTTCTTTCAAGATATCCATTTATAGATGAAAATGGGACATCCGCTATAGATAAAATAATGTACATTGCACAAACTCGTACAAATTCAATGAATGTACGAGAGTTTTGATTTCGAAATATCAAATACCATTCTTACCGTTAAGATAAGGTGAGTCAGAATATGGAATACCACGTAAGCTGCCAGGATCCAGTCAATCCATTCTGGCAGTTTGGCCTTATTTAGTCGGACCGCGAAGAAAATTGCGATTACTGTGAAAGGAATTTCAATGTGTCGGTTAATCTATTGTCCGTGGAGAAAAGAAGTACACAAAAAACGCGTGCAGTATGAAAAAGAAGAGAAGCTTACTGCCGCAAATCTGTGCCGCGTTTCCAACGAACCAATGCGCCCAATTAAAAAGAGGTCTTCGCGGTGCTCCTGGATGAGGTCTCGCGGCTGCCATAAACGGTTGAATAAAGGCTAAGATCGTGGTCGCTAGTCCCAAGGACGCGTGTATCACCTCCGAACTCCATTCACCCAATTCGACGAATATTATTACAAAAGCCGCTATTGTCATCGACCATGTCAGTATCATAAAGAATCTGTGCCACTTGAGTAAACAACAGAGCAAAATAACATATTCTTGTCGATAATATTCATTATATTTCATCGATAGAATTAAATTCTCATAATGAATGACATCAAAGTGAGGAACATAAGTGACGACGATATTATTATAATATATGAATACTCGAACCGGATATTAAATAATCTGAAGTTAAGTATCTTTCAGCCGTCTAAGATACGTTCTATATCATTCTTGGACATCGGCCAAAGTTAAGTGTTCTTTCGGAACGTTCAGACTCTCGAGTTCAACAACGTCAAGTACATTACGCTGTTTAAAAAATGTAGCGTGCTCTGCATACTAAAAGCCAAATTAATAAGTATTCACCGCATTACATGAAAAATATCTAATTGTCGAGCAAAATCGATACGTTTAACCAATCTCAATAGCAATTTAATTCTTGTCATTTCATTATGAACGTAACATTACGAGCATATTTATTGTCGTATGGATCGCACGCCATAAAGCAAACAATTCTCACGGCGATCGGTACAATTTCACCCGGTGTCTCCCAATTAAAATCTGATTACGCAAAATGATTAATGTGTTCGATTTAAATTGCAATCACGCTGTTCGTGCGTCGACTGGTAATTTTCGGGAAGAGCCACCCCCGTGACATTATCAAATTGCCCTTCCATTCGCGGTTCCTCCGATTAACCTCGATCCCCAACTCATGAACCCAGAGACAAGAGCATCGCCCCGTCAAATAGGTGCCAACACACGCAACCTCGGGGTCGTTACTTCCACTGGGTCGAGATCTTACCAGTAGCCCAGTTTGTGCGCGCGATTATAGGAAAAATTGGATACTTACGGCGAACCAATGATCCTTTCCACACAACTGTGAGCTGACCCATGTCTGCTTGTAGTATCTAGCCAGAAGAATGCCGATCGACGCTGTACCGATCCAAGATGCCAACATTAGAGCGCCATGAACACGAATTAGAATGTTGCTCGCCGTAGTGTAACCACCAACGTCGGATAATAATTTTGCGTCACCGGTCGCGTCGTACGCCGTGTCATGGAATCCGATACCGTTACCTAAATGTTTCGACAAATGTTTCTTTAAACGTTTCTCCGTTTTTCAATCGTTTCACTTTGCGTGATAAGGGAGATGGAGAAAAAGAAAAGTTTCAGCAGAGTTCTTGGAAAAAATCATTTCATCAGAAACATGTATCTAGGTTCATTACAAAGTATTCTCAATTACGAAGTTATTGCATTTATTCATTTTTATTTTCTTTATTTCTAAGAATAATGACAGATGAATAAATACTTTGTCATTGCACTAATAAAATTATGTCTTTTACTTATTTTAAAGTATCTTGGAATATTTAGTTTCCCAGAATAGCGTTAGAAAGGTTGTATAATATATAATTGCCAGCCATAAGTATTAAAAGTCCTACTGATATTTGATCCAAATTGGATCCTTCTCATTACCTTTATTTTTTTATTTATTTTGTACCTCGTAACGTAAAATATTAAATAAGGTAAAATCTCTTAGAAATTTTCAGTATTTACTAAATAACGTATCCTAATACTTATGGCCGGTACAGTAGTTGTACTATCGTAAGATTAAATGAAATTGAACGTACTTTTTAAACTTTTGCCAGCTGCCACGAGAAGATTGTATGGTGTGCTGACGAGGTCATACTCGCGGCCTTGAACAACCGTAGTCTTCTCTCTCCAAAATCTGCACGTGATTATGTCATCCTTGATCGCACTCGACTCCAATTGGACTGCTCCTTCCTGCTATAAAGGAAATCGCAAATGGATCAAGGTCACAAGAGATTTCTCGTAAACTGCGAATAGATGCAATCATTCTCACAAAGAACTAATCGATGACAATGTTACACGCAGGCGAAAGTCGGCCATCGCCGCGGGGCTCATTGATCAAGATTTTATTAATTTCACTTGCTCGCGACTCGCGTGCTCACGTAACAGTGACCTCGATATTAGTCGCAGGTAGAAGTTTCTTCTTTCTTTTCAACCCTAATTTTATTTAATTCGAATCATTGGATGTTTATTCGAACGATTAATAAAATAAGTTAAAAATTCGTTTTTCAAATTTGCAAATTGCGATGCAGACTCTCTGAACTTAGCAACCAGCTACAGAATAAAATTTGTTATTATTATCACAGAATTTGGTATTCAGTTCGTATCCTGCTTTAATATGATAAATAATAGAATACGTACCATTGGCTGGCGCATATTACGTTTTCCAGAGTTCCAAGACATGTGTAATGCAATTTCTCCTCCTTCGTTCGCGCACTCAACTACACTGTCATCGCCCTGCATATATAACATACGAAGGATTAAATAATCGTTCACCGTAGAATTACGTGAATTGAATCTAATATTCTACAAACTTTCTAAGACTACACTTCTCTAATCAGTATAACCATTGTTGCATAAAATTTACCACGATCTAAATTAGGTATCCGTAATTATTTAGGTAGCAAATGATTAATGTAATTTAATTTAAAATAATTTAATTTAATCGATATTTTTGGATGACTAAGCACGATATACCAAAGTACATTATTTTTAATCAACAAGAAATTACCATTTTACTGTCATCGGATAAACCAACAGCGACATATTTACTATCACGTCCTTGCAATTCAAACAGATATCGCTCTCCTTGAACAAGTACAGTAACCGCAGCGATACAATTTTTGGCCTCGATGCATCCAGCTGGAGTACCAAAGCAATTCTTCGTGGAGCCACATCCGGCGTAGAAAGGATCCTCAACATCTTTCGTCTAAAGAATAACACGTTCAAATACAATAACTCGCTGTCGTCAAAGTTCTGAAGAAATTATACGTCGGTTAATACTCAAAGCGTTTGTACAATCTTAAGATTCGAGAACCGGGTACGAAGAACACAGAGATTTATACAGAACCGAACGCAAGTTCTCCAACCGAGAACGGAGTTTCCAGGCAGCTTTTCTAGTTTCTCTAGAGAAACAGAATAATCTTTCGCACGGAAATAGAAATAGAAGTTCGTCGTGTCAATACACATCTCATATCTGGCACGGACAGTGTCTACGTATAATTTAATCTAATAATACGAAAGGATGAACAAACGTTAACACGCAAAGTTAAGAGTACGGTTGATCCTAGAGCCAATAGATTCTTCAACCACGTTTATCGTCTGGCATGAATCTGGCGGTAAAGTTTCAAGAGATTTCCGAAAGATTTATTTTCATCCAAAATACGAAGATATTTCCGCGGCGAGAAATCCTACACCGGCGATACGTGTGTGCAGAGAAGCAGCTTGCGTCGCAGCCGGTTAATGGAGTAGTTTCAGTCCGCCACTCTGGAACTCCTCAATAAAGTTTCCAAGCGAGAAACCGGCGTGGATTCATTCGCGTGCCGCCTTTTCTCACGTCGATCTCGTTTCGAAAGTGGACCGGTAACGAGGACGGTACGCAAAGAACACGTCGACCTGTATCTTTTCATTTGTCGCGGAAGTCAATTCAAACAAAACACGCTTGCAGCTCGTATTCAAGATGACACTCGAATCAAAATTATAATTTGAACCGCGGTGCAGAGCAATGCATACGCAACGCAATGTGATTAACGTTGAATGCTCGAACATCAAGATATCAATTCAATGATTAATTACAATACAAAGTGGTCACGAATGACAAAAGAGACGCAGATTGATCGAAGTCTCGGAGGGACGGAAAATGTGACGACCGACCTTCAACTTAGACACAGTTCGCGAGACAGAATAATTGCGGACTTCGAGAGCTGATTATTACCAACTTCATGTATGTATATACATTTTTCATTTCTATTAAGCACACCTGCGAGTTCGTCCGATTTTGTCGTAGGAAGATTTTTGTACATCACACGGAGTAATTGGACTCGTGATTGCTTTAATTGCTCGTTGAATAAAGATAAGATGAACGCGTGTCCGTATTAGCGACCGTGGGATACACTATTTTTCTGTTTCTTTCCATACTAATACGTTCTTATAGGCAATAAATGTTTCATATATTATTTATAGTATGTTTAATATCTTACCGCTTTCAAGTACATGAACATTTTGATTTAACTATTTGTATTAATTATACGTAAACGTTACTAATATATATGAAATAATGGGAAATTAATGGTGAAAAAGAAGATTTATTATCTTCTACTAAAATTGACAAACGATATTCGAATCATTTGTCTAAAAATTAATCAGTGATAAAATTAGTCATAGTCTATCTGTCAATACGAAGAAGCATCCTAGTAAAAAGGGAAGTAAAATTAAAATATGACTCGAGTAAGTAGTTTATCGTCCCCTTTTGTTTCACAACGTTTCACCGTTTCGCCATTGGCCCAGATTAATCCTCGAGGCGCGTTGCGCGTTGATGCGACGGAGATAAAGTCACGTAAAAGTAAATGGACAATGAAGCAAAAATTACGGGGCGCGGTCGGATCGGAAGATACACGAAAGTGAACGGCGAAAGTATATAAAGTATAAAACCAAGAGCGTATCCCGTTCGATGGAAATTATGCATTTGTACGAAGCTAACGAGCGTGCAGGTGTGCGCAATTGTGCATACATAATACATGTAGCAGCATATCGTCCAACCAATATACGTCGGAATATGAACTTACTTTCAACTCGTAATTATTGTACACGCACATCCCTTATCAATGTACTCTTTGATTAATTATACCCTTCTGTTTTGTTATTAATTATACATTCTTGTTTCTAGATACATTCATTCACATATATCGTTAATTATCGTGAAATCTATTTATCAAAAATTCCTTTGAAAATCAACTTTAAAAGATTTCTAAAATTTCTCTCAAGTTTGTAGAAAACCATTGTATTGCTTTGTATTTTCTATGTTAAAACGTAATAGAAATTCTTAATCGATCCAAGTAATTTAATATGATCGATTTATTACTTCAAATATTTATTTAGTATTCTAAATTACAACTTCTTATTAGACCCATACGCAACGTGTATGTACATATGTATTAACTACATTGTTGACCTACTGCGAATGTACGCCTATGTGTTTGCACATGAATTAATTTAAGCGATTAACAAAGCATAAAATTAAAAGCATTAAAGTAAGTTTTCATTAAAACATTGTTCGCTGTATGAGATAGTGTTTGTTAAATTATATAGAAATGCGGTTATTAAGAACTCAATCTTTTTATTGCAAGTACGGGTATATATCAAAATTATAGTAATAAGAGCAGAATATGATTCATATTTTTGACTGCGAATTTTTATACAAATTAATATTTTTCAGAATATAATAAAGAAAGTAGAACCTCGATAACAAAAAAATTGTTGTACCTACGAAATATTATAGAAAGCACTATACTTTTGATATTCTGTATATTTTTCAGGCTACGTTCATTTTGTACAATTTTTGCATTTTCAAATTTCCTATAGATGCATAAATATCCACAGTCCAACCGTTACCATCGAGTATTCGTAGAAATACCCTATGGTACCTGTTAATTTCTCCATAAAATAGCCAATCAGTAATTTGTCAAAAATATAATAGCAAGAATCGAGTTCACATTTCTGTCATTCTGAACAGATATAGTAAGTACCATAGCGCGTTTGTTCGATCAAAGACGTTCACAATCGTAAACAGGTATCAAAGAGATAGTGGTTTAATAATTTCAATGTTAGGGCACGATTTTACTTCGCCAGCCCTTTCCCTGGATAGTCGATGATCAGTCGCGGTTATGATTATCGGGTGTGAAAAGCACGTTTGCCTCGTGATCAGCGGTCGGGACGTAATGGGACGCAGAATACTTACCTCGTAATCGACGGTCGGACTGTAATAGGGCGGCGTGGTAGTTCTCAGTGTACTGATCGGTGTAGACGAGGTCAATACGTCGATGGATCGCTTGCGAACGTTAACTGGCGGTGATTCCACGCCGACCCAGTACGTACTGTAATCCTGCGCGAACGTGGACCTGCAACGTGGTAGAATAGGGAGAAAAGAAAAAAAGAAAGAAACGATCAACGAGAGTTACGAGAAACATATATCGACCCATGGACGGTGAAAAGGGAAATGGGAGCGTTTCAGCGAAGTACAAATGACTGATAGGAGGACGAAGATATTAGTATTGATTGCGGTAATTACGGTATGTTGGTTCTTTGAAAGAGTGCAATAGCCAAAGGTCCAAGGAATATCGTGTGTTTCGTTCGGAGCTATATTACCGACAATGGACGCTTCGATCAATTTCAGGCAAACATATGTATGCGAATTATGGATGTGCTCGAATAAACGATGTGCTAAAATTCATGATGGATGAATTAAGACTATTCGTATTTTTCAGTATTTTCGATTTTTTTTTTTTTTTGTAAAATTGAAGGGTCTGGACGAATTCTATTGACGAAGTTTATTAATTACGATGGTGTAGTAGACGTGTTAATAATTGTGCTTCCGTGCTTTGCCTTTATTACCGTTTATTACCGTTTCATGTCCTCATTACGGTAACAAACATTTGAGACTTTTATCCTCAAATTGGATGATATAATGAACGATGCGGATATTTTTTGATATGGTGTGATAATGGATTAAACAAATTATATGCACATGACCGTCTACGTATTTACTTGTAATTAGAACATATTGTAATTAACAAAATGGAAGTATTGCGTATGATCCTAATTTGATGAACAGTAAACTGTGTACGTGAATTACAGTGGAGTATGCTGGGACATGCGATGTTAAAACGAGTTAATGTCGCAGTTTTTATCAACAGTTTTTATCGGTAATATCAGAATGTTACAATAAAAGCAGACGATGCAAGTATTACCATTTATCATTCTTATTTGTGTTAGGTTATTTATACCTTTAATCGGAAGGTTGTACATAGTTTAACACGAACGAAGTTATCTTGCTGTATTATTTTGACTGTATTTATTATAGCATTTACATACTAAAAAATTACTACTTAGATTTCATATCGTTTGGTAATATCTCAATATGATTGCAAAAATTATACTAAAAACGAAACGCTTTATTAAAAAATAGAGGTACATATATACAAATACTGTGTGTAATCAAATTGTTATGTAAATTGTTGTTTCTTTCAAGTACTTTCATAGAGTACTCATAAACGAAATATTTATTCAGATTACTGTACACGTTCTCGTTTCTTCGCTGCAACTAGCAGCATTAAAGTAAATAATAATAAACATATTGGTACTTTTAATATCAGCTATGTACATTTGAAAGTAGGTAACTAAGCAAATAAAAGACATACCAAAGTTTAGAAATCTCAACATTTGCAGTTTCTTTCATTTAAAAGTTTAAACAGACAATACAGGATGCAAATGAACTTGTAGGTGCAAACTTTTGAATACCAATGAAACACCAAACGAAACTGGAAAGTTTCCCTAATTACATATACAGATATTTCTTCCCAATCGAACAAACAGAGGACTGTCAGTTGGAAAGTCAAACCATCTTCGAGTTACTCCATTTAATGACCCTACAATTACTCTAGCCGATGCATCATAACCAGTCACGAAACGTAACCAACGTTCCTCTCCGTTTTCGTAAAGGAGGAGAGAAAAAAGGGTTATAGGAACGTCAATTCGTATTCCAACATCTCGGCAGATAAGACCATAAATTACGATCTTCCGGGTCAACGTGATGCAACCCATTACCAGTGCAGGCGTGGGAATAAAAGATAACAATGTTGAGAACGAATAACGAGTCGGAGTCTAATGTTGAAAAATCGTTTCGATAGCGTGGAAGAAGGCTTCGTATCGAACTGAGAATCAACGAATGAACAATCTAACTGGACGAGAGTGGACCAGATATCAGACTGTGTTAAAAGCAGAATTCAAACAAACCATAAATTTCTAGAGATTCGAGAAAAGTATAGAGAGATTTATTTATATGAATGAGATTTCTCGTTTTAATTACATATACGAAGATTACAGATGAAAAACACGATAAGTCATATCTTCTATGTTTAAAATTCGTTGTTGATCAATTCCCGGTAATTGAAATCTTTTTATTTCGTTTTGAAGCCAAATATGTGTTTCTTAATCCCTTTAAAGATTTTCAAAATACTACTCGTCACAGTAGTAAGATCCACAATAAAGGGTTATTAAAGAGGATATTAAAATATCGTTTTAATAATTATATCTTTGGCTTCCATAAAACTTCGTCCGCTTGTCAGTTACTTTTAACAGGTTTTTAGCACATCAATCCTAACAGGTTGTTTTCATTTCCAATTACATCGTACTAAAGTGCTTCTATTTAGACGTAAGATGACAATGGAATTATAAAATCAATAACGATATACTTATTATTCCCTTCTGCCGTGGTCTCCAAATTAAAATAAGGATCGCTTCGATATCTAGAACGATAACCCGAATCAAAAGGAGAATAAACGAATGAACTACGTAGCATAAACGAGAGTGGACTGGTACCGGCGACATGTCAAAAGCGGAATTCGAACGAACCGAATGGTTATTTATGGCTATCGGCATAAATTTCTCGAGAAGTTTTAATGGAGCTCGCGCAGCACTCTGTCCCCCGTATTAATTGAGCATTCAGAAATAACCGGTGGCACCGATTACCAGCGGAAAAGTTTATAACGAATGTCCCAGCCGTTTCACCGTTCACCGTTAACCGTGTTATATTGTATTCCGTGCACGGGAGATGCCGAGGCGCCTCCGTGCCACGCGCGTTCGTTCGTTCGTTTCTAATCGTAATTCATACGTGCGACAGATCGTGGCATATTACGTGCGTGAGCTATATACACCGTGATCCGAAGACCGAGTTTTGTTCCAGAAATTGAATGAACGATTCATCGATACTTTGCAGATGAATTCTTGCATTAGCTTTGAATGCGATGAATCATCAATTTCCATTCGGTTTATTGTATGATTGCAGAGTTAATTTGTTTTATGCGGACTAGTGTAATAAATTGCAATCTGACAGAAAATCGATTCTGTTCTGCTAGTTATAAGAATTTTTGTATTCGAGTATTCGAGTTGCGTTATTTGATTTAAAACTTAGGTATCTATATGTACACAAAGGTGTTTGAACACTCGGCGCAGAAAACTTTTGTATATGTATCGTACGCGTTATGTAAAACATTTTAAAACTTCATTAGCACTGTAATAAGACATAACTGATACGATAACTGATGGTAAGCGTTGGAACGAATCTGGTGATGTATACAGAAATTATTTTTTCGTGATGTTTTATTTTATTGCTTCATCGTGCAGATAGTAAGCAAGCTATTTGTATCGATTGTTATAAAAATCAGGAATGAGTAGTCGATAAAAATGACCAAACAAAATAAGCGGTGAATATAAAGTGGCGTTTTACAAACCGTAAAAATTTGTAATTCATTCGTTACGACGAAGAATATTCCAAATACGTCTTCAAGAAAATGTTTCTTAAACATCAGGAAGAATGGAAGGTTCGAGGACGCGAGGAAATAAAGAAAATTTTAATGAATTTAAAAAAGATAAAATAAATGGAAGTAGAGAAGTATGAGAAAAATTCACTACTAAAAATAATTGTAACGCATAATAATTCTATCGTAATTAGGTGTAAATGAAAGAGTTATGCAACCTTGAAATGGCAGTATTGAAAGTACAAGATCTCTGAATGCAAAAAGTCTTGATAGGATTACGAGAGGTTTACTGTGAAAGTATTGAAGTACGACAAGGTTTGATTTTCATGATGTGATATATCTTGCTTCCGCATTCTTACAAACCATACCTCTTGCACATTCAACTGCCATATCGTGGCAATACATTTGTTGCAATATATATCATTCAACCGAAGTAAAATAAATTCATTGTAAAAACAAGAAATGCGTACGATATTTAAATACATGATATCATCGAATTTTCTGCGATACTTTTAATCAATATCAAAATTTCCTAAGGATATACGACAATTGGTAGAAATTTGAATGAGATTACGAAATAACGTAAACCCGCGAGTGTTCTATCGAATACTCACTTGAAAACAATGGTGCCTTCGTAATTTACAGGTGCCTCCCAGTCAAACTCGAGATTGTGCTTCTTGCTGACGTTCGTGTGAGTCACCGCGTTCTTAACAAAAGGAAAAGGAAAAAGCATTTAATCGTCGTGTCGTGTAGCACTTTGCCTCTGTCCTTCGGGAGCACACGACAACGTGATTCACGTAGCCTTCGAGAGCTTGCTAACTACGATCGAAACGATCCTATCGGGAAATACTATAAATCATCAAATTTTCTAATCATTCGAAAAAAATCGTATTGATCGCTCGAAGAACACCTTTCAAACCCTTATTCGATCAATATGCTAAATTATTTGTTACCGTATCTGATACTCGTGTCGTTATTTAACATTTGTATCATATTATGTAATCAGTATACTTTATTTATGTTATCTTATCTGGTACTTTTTATTTCTTATTTCGATCAAAACGTACGAAACATATTTATTTGTTTATTAGCTCATCTGCATATTATTTAGGTTGGTGCACTTGTTATTCATAGTCTTATTCTACTTATTTAATGATTATATAATATTATATAATTAAATAGTTGCAATTAAAAATGACCTCCTATTATCTTGTAAAAATAGATAATGATTTCAAGAAATTTTATGTGAAACCAATAGAATAGCTAATATTGGAACAATCAATATTTCTAGAAGTCGAATAAATCTAATAAATCGAATCTAAATTGAATGGAATAACATCTTAGGTGATGGAAGTAGCTGTAATATTGAATTCTAAAAGTGATTTTCTATAAAAGACAGAAAGTGTGACTTGTCGTGTCTCTTTCCTGTAATCCTCAAGAATATATAGTAATTATAGAATAATATATAACATTATTCCAATATTTTATGAATTTATCATTTTGTCTATTTTTTCGTTTTAAAATTGGCAAATATCTGAAAACTTTAATAAAATAACTCATGACACAGTAACGTGTTTACCTTTATACCCTGTGTGCACTCGACGATTCTTGCCGAATCGGGCAAGTTGGCAAACTCTCCAACGAATTCACCGGTCTCGGAGTCATGTGCAAGTATCATAAAACCCTCGTAGGCAAGACCGTGAGGACTTCCCAGAATTAACCGGACTCTGCCTTGTCCTGCAGCTGGTAAAACTTGGTAAGGAGGAGGGTAAGTTTCCTGCTTCGTGCTTCCAGGATGACGAGGCATCAGATCTTTGCATGAATCTGGCGGTGCTCCAGTCGGCAGACCCAGCGTTCTCAACGAGAGAACGCTTAGGAAGATTACAAATGTTCCTTTCATTACTGTAACATACAAATTTTACACATTTAATCATATACGACCTTCCTTTTAAATTACGAAACTTAATATATTAAATTGCTTAATTGAATTACTAAATAAGTACTACCGCGATCATACTACATATTTCTTGCCTTAAATATACCTACATTTTTCTATTTCTTACAAACTTTACAAATGTGATCATGATGATTTTGATGAACACGACATAATATACGACTTTTATATAACGCGTACAGTATATTTGAAGCCCATTGTTTAATTTGAATTAGTGTAACAAGAATTTGCCAATATCAATTCTTTTACCTACGGTTTTTCTTCCAAATGATCTAAGTTTGCGTTCGAACAATGTAAATTCTATCGTAACGCGAGTTTAGTTAATCGAGTATTAACTGCAGTTCCGTTACAATCCGGAATAAATGGAGTCCAGATAAGTGGGAGTTCTGCAGACTAGTAGCTACATTAATAACGTATCGAAATAAAATCAGATAAGGATTTAGTTGGATAAATTATTGAAATAATTCGAGAGTTTCGTATTCGCAATTAGACCAATATTAGTCGGTCAATCTTTCTCTTCTCTCTTCACACGCTTTCAAGTATTTCAAAAAACACCAAAGGTCGCTCTTTAGACTTTCTACTTTGATTCCTGTATTTCTTCAAATTTTTTCTTCGCTGGTCGGTCCGATGAAGATTTCATACTAATGAACGAGCGTCAAAGTCGTATCACGCTAGACAGTCCCATAAACTCGTAAGACTAGTCTGTACAGAAGAACGAATACCATCGACGAAGTGTCCTTATACGAAGCGAATGCGCATTATTCAATCTACTTTTTACACGTTCCAGACTATGCGAAGACGATACAAGGATATTGACCCAATTCCAAGAATATCTACGTGTGCATAATAAAACCAGCTACATTTTATAACGTTGGAAAATTCGTGGTAGTTTCTTAGTGACAGAATGTATATAGATACATGACTTATACGACTACTTTTCTGTATACGTCACCCGCGACTATCGAACAGTTTAACACTATGAATGTGAAGCATTAGTCACCGCTCTAAACTGACCGGAATTCCCGCTGCTCCATTTCTGCACTTGCTTCGAGCATATTTAGTGCCATCAATATCGAGAACTTTCGTACCTCTTTTTCTGTCCTTCTATTAACCATTTCATAATGTATATAATTTCGTAAATTAGATAAACAATTTATAGAAAAATTAGATAAACATTTATTAATGATTTTCGTAAATTAAATACTTTTCATCGATATAACTGTTTCTGTAAATGTTCATATATTACAGAATAAAAGTAACTCGAACGAAAATGAGAATAATTCATTTAAAAGTGAAACGTAAACCATGTAGGAATTCTATGATTTTCGAAAAGTGCTAGGAATTTCAAATGAAGTAAATTTTTAAAAAATTCGATTACTTAGAATCGAAACAATAACTTTGATGTTGCTGTTCATACTTTACCATCGATAGGCGAGGGCTATGCATTCTAATAAATAAAATAAAATAATACTAGAGTATACCACTTCGCGTCTTTCTCTACGTTACAATGAAACAGATGAAGCGTATTTTTGTACTACTTATTAATAAATAGAAAAAGGAGCAGAGGGATCGAAAACGGGCAGAGAGATTAAAAAGTCGAACTTACAGTTCATACCCACTTTTTAATCAGCTTCGCTCTGAAAACTTGGAAAAATTTTGATCTATGTTATCCTCGCAAGCAGAATACGCAAGCTTCCTCTCGCGAGCATTTTCATAATCTTGTAAAAGAGGATGAAAAATTAAGAGAGAAATTCGGATAAGGAAAACGGAAAGATAAAAAAGATCCGTGCTTTCCTCTATTAAATCGTATAAGTTCGCGTTAAGTATTTTTCTTCGTAGGTGAAAAAAGATCGAGAACGTCTAGTGCATCGGACTGTTGGTTATCGTGGCGCAACTTTATGAGTTTAGCAATACCGTAACCGCAGATTCTGCTGTCCAGATGCGGCCATGATTCATACATCAATGAGAAAATAACGCAATCCGCGAAATAAGAATCTGTGGACACTTTACTTCTTAGTAAACTGCGGATATTTATGCGAAGCTCACATTTTCACGAATATAATTAAAAGACTGGCACCTAAATAGCAATTTCGTTAATCTGTTAAATAACTGCTAGAACTATCTTACTATACTTTTATGTATTATGTGCATTTCATTTGTTACTGTACTTTCAAATTCTTCATAAATACATATTTAATGCAATCTACTTACTAGGTACTCTACTTTAATAAATATTTTCTGCATTTCCAAGAAAAATAAAAGGAAAAGATAAAGAATTATCGCGTTCCTCCTTGAATCGAGTAATGCTGTTTCACGTGCCTCAACGACGAGGGTCGAGCTATTAAAGCTATTGCCTATTACATAATATAACTGGCGCGGTGTTTCAGTGTCGTTTAGGAATGTGCAAGCAAAGAAATCCCGTGGGTCGTCCAGCAGAACTCAATAGGTGAAAGTGAGCGTCTTTCATGCGTGGGTTGCACACAACTCGGCAGTCTTTGAATCGTTGTAAATAACAAAACGGTACACTGGCGATCCACTGGCGATCGCGTTTCTGACATTTTTCTACTCGTTCAAATATTTTTGTCTGTATACACTATTCCTTATATGTATTGAAACACTCCCATAACGTTGCAAATAGAGTGGCCCATGAAAATATTCGAACACTTGCAGACACCTTTTATGAATGCAATTATGTATGTCATACGAAACATTTCGAAATGTCATTAGCATTTTAATGAGACTTAAATTATTATGGAAATTATTGTTAAGATTATATCGGTAAATTTTGAAAACAATCTGGAAATCTACAATAAAATTTATTGCAAACATATACTTACATTACAGTAAAAAATCAATACATAATATGAACAGTGATATTAAACATATAATTAGTTAAATATCATCCTTCTGAATGCTGTGAGTTATTAATATAACGAATAATTATCCGATCAAATATTTTGTCGATCTCTGAGAAGTGTAAGCTTACAATAAATATGTTGTAATTTCTATGTAAATTTTCAGATGTATTTCAAATCTTACCAATATGATCGTCATAATCGTGTCTCATTAAAATGCTAATGAAATTTTCAAATGTTTCGTATAACACAGAATATATATATTCGGAAGAAAGTTTTTATAAATGTTCAAATATTTGTATCACTTGGTAGGAATATTTCTGAAGTCAAATTTTGTATAGATACGATCGTGTTCGATGGAATCAGTGGTGTATAATTGACTTCAATTATGTGAATTGCTGGAAACTTAGATCATCCTCTACGACTCTCCTCGTTTCGAAGAAATCATGGTGTTACGCTACCATTCTATTGGGGCGAGCAAATGGCCACAATCAGAAGAACGATTGTGTTTTAAGGACAATTACGAAACTTATTTTATACTTGCAGCCTGAAATATTCGAGACAAGGTCGATGCTTGCCCACTTCTGTTATGGTCCATTTACGCTATTGCGACATCATGGCACGTGCAAACCCGTGCCCCAATATCGAGTTCGTTAGAATCGGGAAATCTAGTGAAACGTGAGCCATGACTCTATCAAGGAAAACAAAGAATTCCCAACAGACTAATATACATAGATTTAAATTCATCGGACACAATACAGAGAACTCATGCACTTTTACCAAAGAAAGTTTCATATTAATCTTGAGATTTTGAAGAAAATCCTACGTCTCGGTGAATCTAGTAGGGATTTTAAAACTGTCCTGAATTATTTTAAACCTGCAAAATCTCTAAATACTTGAGGATTTTCTAAAAGTCTCGGTCGCTTCGAAATCTCCCAAACAGCCCGAAATTTCAAGCATTTCCATGAATTCCTGACATCTCAAAAACTTCCACGGATCTACAAATATTACAAAATTTCAACCTCCCATGTTCTCCGAAATTCGCGAAATATTTAAAGATCCGAAATTCTTGCATCCCACTGGTTCACGGGCCTGAACTCCATATATTCAGAGTTCTACATATAAGTCCAAGCTTTTCTATATTATATCTCACGAACTAAATTTAAATTAAAATCTCGAAAAATGATCGACTTTATACGCGAAATACGTATTTCTTGATTTTACAGTTTTGAAAGCGTAACTCGAAAGCGAACAACAGCTTGTTACCACTAATACACCAACGATCCGATTTCCATAGAGTGAAAACGAAGAGAAATCTTCAAGACTGCATGCAAACATTACCTAACTGAATGTGTACGAGAATTCCAACTACAAAAGACGTATTAAACGGCTCGCTGTATCGCGAATAATGTTTCAGTGTCAACGAATTTCATTCGTGATAATAGCGACGATTAGAGCGCACGTTTCTATGCATTTGTGGAAAATTTAACCTTCTCGCAATCTTACAATTTTTATCTTATACTAGTTTTATTCTTGTACCTTTGATAATTTTTATGAATGCGGGTCTTCGTATTGTCGCAAGCCTTTCTAATACGAACGACGATAGAATATTTTCTCTCTGTGAAACATTCGATGCGTCGTATCGTTGCGAAAAAAATAAGAGACATTGCAAAACGTCGTGTACGTAAGTAGATACGATTTTTCAATTCGCGGCATACCTAAATCGAAATTGTGTCGCGATCTATACCTTGACCCTCTAAAACAATGGAGAACTTTCCCATCGACATTAGCACTTGCTGCTTAATTGTCAGTTTTTCAACGTCTTTAATTGCATGGAATAGCGGATGATCGATATCTTACTTGCATATTTTCCATTAGGAGATATATTTTTTATCCCACATGTACCTATTATATCCGCGTTGTAACTAGACAAAATGTAAACAAGCAGCGTAAAAACGCGTAATTAGTCAGCCACAAACGTTTGAAAAAGCGAAATGCATATTATGGATGCCGTACATTCAGACATGAACATAAGTCATCATGCCAGGGTATTATTCGCCGAGATTAATATCTTCACAATTTCCAACAGTTTATATGTATTATTGAAATAATACAGATACCATCGTGTATGATACATATCGTCGACGATGTATGGCAAACTTTCGTTCAAACACACTGAGTATATACACTATCCCGCGTAAGATCCCAGGCATTTTACCCAACCTATAGCGATAGTGTATAAATATTAGTAAACTATATGAATTAATGAGAAAGTAATGACTAAAAGCGATATTTATCATGTTCTTGTAGAATCACCGAGTAATGAACTTTTAATTATTTATTTAAAAATTTACCGACGTTACATCGAAGCTCAATACACGATTGACATAATTGATGTATCTATTGACATTCATTAAAATTTATACATATATATATATGGTATATATAATTGAACTAGTGACGACAGTTTATTATATGATTAGAAGAATTGATCTGTGTATTACAAATTAAATAGTCTTCTCCAGAACGTTTTGTTATAAATTTTCTTAAGAAATTATGCCATGAGCCGTTTCACTCGCATAAATGCCAATATTTCATTGCATATTTAGTCTTTTCGAAATTTGTTTACTATGCTATAATAATAGACTACTAATACAGAGTATAACCATCATAAATCAACGCATCGTTTCTATTCTACGTATACAGTTCCCTAATTAAATTACATTATGCCAAAAAATAAACAAGTGTGCAGATCCTTTTGATCAGTAACCTATTTTAAATATTACTCGTCGTGGTAAAGCGAAAAATACAGGCTTGTGCACGTGTATTATGTACAATAGACTTAAACGGGCACATTGTTCTTTTCATCGATGGAGTTCGTAACGGGGGAAGCCGAGAGGATAAAAATCCATTCATTAAAAACAACGTTTGAATGACAGATGAAGAGTTAAGAAGCACGGCAATCACGCTTCGTTGGTTATTATCATGTATCATTACGGTATTGTTCGAAACAACGAGCACAAGGCTTCCCGCGTTGCATTTTGCGGCTCGTTCCACCCGCGATGCACGCGCGCGCACGGCAACGCTGCTGCTCACCCACCGATCTATGGATCGTAGTTCGGAGAATGCACAATGTTACATTGTGACCGAGTTAACCCAAGGAATTGCGCTTTCGTTCGATCCCGTGGCTATCACACGAGGGGAAATTTCTAACAGCGAAATGGTACTTTCTGCGGCAAAAGAGACAATTCAATTTCCTTTCTTGCCTCTCTTTTCATTTTTTATCGTCATTATCGTTCGATATGATTTACGATTGAAAGTGCACGTCTGAAATGAAAAACGAAGAAGCAAAGTGAATGTTATTGCGTATAACGGCTAGAAAGATTACTGAGAATATATTTTCTATGTTAAATATTTCTATTAGAGCTCTCGTTTCTTTGAGATTAATTCATTTTGCGGATAACAATTTTTTACATTCAGATTAAGATACTTTATGCAGATTAAAGTATAACGTTTATGTAGATTTCAGGTTACAAAAAATTTATGAGTGAACTTAATCTGTGTCTGAATAAATAAGAAACAACGATGCGTAAATATCTTCGTCTACCTAACTATGTGTATTTTACACCCTAGAGAATACTGCGATGTATAAATCTTTTATTTCACACTTTCTTTCCTTATATATCAGCTTCAAAAGTTTAGAATTTATTTTTTGTTTGAATATTGCATAAGGATGAAGAGTGAGGTATAAAGAAGTTGATGCAGGCTTTGAATATTCTTTAAAATATTGTCATTTTCAACACGTGACGCAAAACATTGTCCTATACGAAAATCCAAAAATAAAACTCGCACAAAGATACTACACGGTGCCTCTATCGTGTCGAAAGATACGTGCTCTTATGAATTATACATAATGGAATAGCACATGAGTCAGTTGCGTGGTATCACACATTACACGTCATTTGTGCAAATAAAATAACATTACATATCATTTATTTTCCATTTGAATTCACTCATTAGTGAACTGAAAAAAAATCATCAAAATTGTATAAAACATGATCAAAGAATAAAAATTAACAAAAAAATTAGTTAAATGAAAAATATTTATGACTCGATGGACATTTTACATTCGAACAATAATTTTATATATCGAAATATTCCACAATTTCCGATAGAACTAAGTGTTTGGCGAACGTGTAGCTATAGTAACGTTACTTTCCTGTCCTAGAAATTCCTCTCTGAGCAATCTAGATTCCTACGTTAATATGTCAAACCATATGTTAATATAATATTTTATGCGTTTATTACTTCGTTCATGTATATCCGCGTTCGTGCCCTAGAAATTTCACGCTGAACATTGTTCGTAGATTCTTCTGCCGTTAGCACGACATACGGCGAACTAATTTATTACGCGAGCAGACTTAAAAAATATTATCAACAGCTACTATTAACAAACATAAAAACATTAGCTGGAATATTATTTTAAATTTATGCTGATTTTGCTATTTATGATTTAAAAAATTTAATCAACCTGTTAGCAGTTTAATTAATATAACATATTTATTTTTCTAATAAATCAAATTAGTTAGGAAATATAATTAGTTAACGTCAGAATAAATTGAAATTATGCTAAAACCCTATTCTATAAATTATTATAAATTCTCTCCAACTATTAACAATTGACTTGTTCTTTTCAGTACAGACTATATCGAAGCAGTAAGTTTCCGTGCCTTTATAAAATATTCAAAAATATCGCTCGCGATTCGGAAAATAATATTTTAAAGACAAAGTTAAGGTTCCGAAACGCTTTTAAAAATAGGTCATCGAAAAGAAGTTGGAACGAATCATTTTAATGCTATCCGATGCACTACTTATCAATAATCGATTCAGAATCAGTTACCAAAGGGACAAGGAAAGAAAGTTCGTTGAAGCTTCAAACGCAAGATTAACTTTCTAAAACATTACCGAGGCGCTTATTTATTAATTGCATTGGAACATTATACGTGGAAACAAAATTGATTTCGCGTAATAGTTCAACGTTTTCATTCTCTCGACGAAGCGCCTGTGCACCGTGCCACGTGCAGGAATATAAAAACGTTCTGGCTGGTGACAGGTGCACCAGAAAACTTGTTTTTTAAGCAGTTCCCATAGAATATGGAATGAACCACGACTGTATTTGTCATGGTTTTATTTTACCAAGAGGCGTCTTGAAACTAGTCACTTTTTTGTACGAGTACTCTTTCCATCAAATAAATTCCGCGTGAAATTTCATTTTTATGTCAAATGTCGTGCGACCAATGGAAATCTGTCATCTGTATGTTACGCTAGGGTTGCGACTTTCGCATGCTGAATTTGGTCAATGGACCGCGTTGAATCTATCCATCAATAAACCCTATTATCGGTGAAACAACCTACCACTGGAAACACCCTAAATAGAAGTCGAATGATTCCATGTTAACAAATACAATACATCTTAGATAATTAAAAGGTGTTTCTACCAAACATTGTTAGAATGTCTTATGAGTTTAAGTAAGAAATGAAAGTTGTATAAACATAGATCATTTGAAGCTTCAGTAAGAAGTCGTAAATAGACGCAAATGTGTATACCAATTCGTATTTATCGCAGTTTATGAAGATAAGTACAATAAATAGAGAATTATTTGGTCTTTTCAATAGTATAACGCATCTACAACTAACGTTTCTCTCGTTTCGTATCCTTAATTGCGAAATAACATCTCGAGATCTGTACTCACGGTGCTTCATACTTGGTGATTTTCTCTCGTCAACTTCAATCTTATGTTGTGTATTGAATTAAATCTACAGCGTAATAAACACGCAGTCGGCAAGGCGTGAAGTCACGTGTAGCGGAACTCCGGTGTACATATAGAATCCTCGTTGATCCTGGTGAGGGAACACGCGCGTCATAGATGCATCTTTCAACGCAAAAAAACCAATAATTCACCGAGTCATCGATCACCACAAGAAGCAACACAATGTCGGCGATTCTGGTCTCGCGATCGAATCCCAAAGTGAAAAGGTTAATCTGTACAATCTACCGAGTCAAACCGGTGTCATAATATTTGTAACCGAAGATCATGAACTCAAGCCAATCTGTGTACGCGGTCAATCTCCGCGAATCTTCCTGCCACCTATGCGCGCCCCCTTCGAACTCTCCTTTGCACGCGAGGTTACGAGAAGAAAAAGATGTTCACTAAGTTCGGTTAGGTCAAGTGTTTCCCCGACGTAGTCTCGAGAAGCACTTGTTGATTCCGGACGAGCATAGTTCTGACCAGCACGCTGAGAACCACACCTTACGAGAGACTGTGTAGTGGATATACGGATCGAGTTGAAAGGCCCGTGAGACCACATCAGGTCCGTACCTAGCCAACGGAACCCGTGTCACGAAGATCGATCCACGCTCTTTCTGATCCTTGTTTACAATCTAAACAATGAGCGCACAAGATTAGTTATGCGACATACCAGCATGTTGAAAAATGGAGAATATAAATAAATAGTTATAATAATAGGAATGGTTTCCTCATGTCAAAATCATAAATATATAGATTTTCAGTTTTTTAATAAAGAACTGAGCTAAATTCTTTTCCTTTTCTTTAGCTTTAATACATAAATTAGGATTATGAATGTCACAATGTAACAAGGATAATTATACTGCAATTTTAATTCATATTTTCAAGAATTATCTGGTTGTAATATAATTAACCGAATCACATATTCATGATATTAGTATACAAAAGACGATATAATATTGTCAATGAATAAAATTGTATGTAATTGTATGTAATTGTATATAAATTGTATGTCGATATCTGTAAGACAGACTATTATTAAATATAAATACAATATATTATATTCTCCCATATGCTATTTATAATTTGTTGAACATACAGATTTTTTCTTTATGTATCTGGTTCGGTCATTTTCGTACTCGCATTTGACTGAACTATTTTGCAATATACAGGAATAATTATCAACTTGATTTTAAATACCTAAAGGAAACGCCGAGAAAAGGTTAAAGAATGTGGCGAAGCCATACCTAGACTTCGACGTTACTGTGTATTAATGCTGAACAACAGTTTTAGCTTTTACTCTACGGATCGGGGATAACGGAGGGAAGGCACGACATACCAAAACTCCGTGTCGTGATCCCAGACGAAACTTAAGAAGAAACTATCAAATATCAAGGTGAAGCGTACGAGGACAAACATCCAATGACCAACAAATTATCATGAATAATTTGAGCAATTGTAATTCTTTACTATACACAGACTGTTAATACATAATTATATTATATATTAAAATACAAATCCAGCTAATCCATTAAGTACTACATACATATAATCTAATAATAAATGGAACATTTGCATTGTAAATTTAATTTAATTAATTTAAACATCTTTATTTCGTAACTTCAAAAATTAATCGTTTTACAAAGCTAAACAATACTAACTACAAAGATATCGCTTAGTTTAATATCAACTAGTATTGAAAATGTTTAATATAATATGCGTCGATAGTGAAACGGTATAGATAACCGATACTCGAAGGGAATATGTCCAGGAAATAAATTTGTTTAAAGACCCGTTATGCCCGACAGTGAATAATTAGTAGGCACTCAGCGTACTTGTTCAAAAAGTCATTCAAACACAGTGGTCTCGAGCCGTTCCTGAGCCGCCGTAAAGAGAGAGGGACTAACTACTTGCCAACAAAATGGGGGGTTCGGCGCACCGTACATTCACCGTATGGTCTTCACCTCAGTTTTATCGACGTTCCCCCTCGTTTTTCTCGTTCCCTCTCTTTTCCTCGTTCCAATGATGTTTGACGCTCGCTTACGCTTATACGTCCATGCATACCTTCCTACCATCCCTCACTCGATAACTGTGTCAACATCGAATTTCTGCCATACCATGCGAATTGACTGGAGCCGACCTCCTGCACAGGATTCGGAATATTCCTGCAAAAATCGATTGCAAACAAATTTTCATTACGTTATAGTGGCATACATAAATCTATGATTTATTTATGATCCACAAATTTTTTTAACTCTTTCATTCCTAACGATTACTATAAATCCGCATCCATGTAATAAACTGCACATACTAGCGCCGTCTAAAGTTAGCGCTCAGTAAACGGTACCGATTTAGCAACCTGTAGCACTGTCGGTGCCTTATAGTAATCGTGCTAATATTGCGTTTAATTACGTATTAGTAAAACGGTTTTTACGTTTTTCTCACTCTCCAGTGTTTGTGTAATATTAATACAATATATATTATACAATATATATATTAATACAATAATACAGAAGAAGCATGCTCCTGCAGAAGTACGTAAAAAAAAGTTAATGTAAGATATTTTTTAAGATAAAAAAATGACGGCATCAAAGGGACTAATTGTCTATGAACGTATCCTCAATGAGAGAACATACTTTGCTTTCGCCGATATTCCCGAATGTAAACCGTAAAACCGGTTTTAAAGTCAAACGTGTCCCGAAAATTTTAAGGAAAGAAGGAGTGTTTAACGTCTTCGATAGTGGACCAGATTCAGTGATGAGTTTCATTGCATAAACACTTGTTAGGATTCTTAAACTATGTAACAATTAGTGAGAAATTATACCGAAAGAACTGTCGGTATCATTGTAATTACAACGATAGTCGTTAGATGGAACTCGTGTATACCACGCAAAACATGTTTAATTTAAATTGCCAGTTTATAATAAATAAAGATTAAATTCTTTATTATGCCATCTCTTTTACAGATATTATGTTATAAAGTATTTATAGTATGATGTATTGTATATAACCAATAAGATAATATACATTTTCGTTATTTTTTTAATTATACACAAATGCATTTTGAAAGTTAAATTAATAATTTAATTTATTATTATTTATTTTATATCTAATATTTGAAGAAATTTGTTATCTTTTATTTATATTACTGTTTTGCTTTTAATTATATATTGTTAACTTTGATGCAATTTATTAATTTTTCCTTTGTTGTATTAATTCTATGAGAATATATATGGAACTACCAGTATTTATTAGCTTAAAAAAAAGTTCGTTTTTGAGCAAAAGAGTTACGTTATAGGTCTCCAAAGTATAACTGTGTGTTCTTTTAATATCCTTAGTAACACAAAAAGCCATCATAAAGCTATACTATAGCATATTTTTTTTATAAGGTATTGCCTAATAATTAATATTTTATAAAAATATTATTACTACATTTAATTTTTCATATTTCATATTCTATTTTACTATATAAATTAATTTCATAACAAATATTTTTGACAGATGGTTATATTAACATTAAAATATTTTGAATGAGATAATTCTTTTCATTGTAAACATTTAAACCTATCAATGTACTGAGCAGTATCGACTTATAATGCAACACGTCAGTGGCGGACCAGGAGCCTTTTCTGGTGAAAGAGGTCAAAATGCGCAGTAGTACATAAATATTATTATTGAATCTTCTTTTACAAAATTTAAAATTTGCTTATAATTTATATTCTAGTATCTCTAAAATAAGGCGATTGTCCCTATAGCTGCCTTCCCATCCTCTGAATCCGCCACTGGAATACGTAAGTTTAGAAATCATCTTCCTTAAAGTACAGGTTTTTCTCACAGAATACTCGACCGATTGTACCTTCATTAACATCTTCCAACATAACGACCGTTCAAATTCCATGCGTACTATTTAAATGTCATGGCAATAAGAACATACTTATCCATTCTTCGATATCAGTTCCCATCACGAACAATTTCCAAGACCGACTTTGCCATTGCAATATCTAAAAACCATCCATTATACTATCGAATTTGATAAATCAAACAATGAAAGATATAGTCTATAAATCAATTTACTTAAATTTCCCGGTAACCATACATAAGGTCTAGCACGAGAAAATGTGCGCAAGTACGAGCTATCAGACACGCATGTGTACTTTGTTACTTTGTACCTCATGCACAAGTTTCGTTTTGCGTCTCGTCTCGTCCGGACGCATCATTCGATTGATCGCGAAACTCAGCCAGCGGCATTCCGTGAATTTCGAGGGAAATTTCGTGAATGAAACAGCTGTATTGCGTTTTAAGCACATTGTTATTAGTAAACACCGTACACGTTTATCGTCTGAGAAACGCTTTAAAGCAAGCGATATGTCACTGTTCGCCTGTTGCATACGTCAGGTGAGTTTTGTTATTCCCGCCCGTAAATTAACGCGATCTATTGAGTATACGTAAGTATTCTACACAGGATAGTACATATGTATACAGTGAGTCACAGCCAAAATCCTTTCCTCTTTTTTTTTTTTTTATTTGAAAAGTTAGAAAGATCAGTTTGCTAGGTGACGTGTGAAAAGCTTTGAAAATTTCATCAAAATCGGTTAACGTCGTCATGAGCTACAAACGATTAAAAATGATGAGAATCGCAATTTTTCACGATTTCCCGCCTATAGCTAACCGTAATAAATTTAAATATGCTTACACCTTTCGATGCCTGTTTCCCCATCAAGCGATTTCGATATTTTTAGCGTAGATATGTATAACTGACATAAACGTGTTCTTTAAATCTCCATTATAGGCCCCGATAGAAAAGTTGTAAAAGGTGACCTTTACTATTTCCTTCGCGATTTTAACCAGTTGCAAATTTTTCAACATTTTTCTGACACGTCACTTAGTAAACTAATTCTATTAACTTCTCAAAAAGGTCAAGTCGTCTGATTCGATTTTAAAAACGTTATTCTTATATTTCTAAGGGTGCACGAGTTAGACCGTGACATACTGTATGCTTATCAGGAAATTCAAATGGCATCGAATAAACATATAGAAGAGAAACATGGTGTATTGTTATACATATTGAATCGTGTGCTCTATTTCGTTTACACGCGCTTCATTGTGCGCGCTTTATTCGTTTGAAGAAGTTATTATTGGAAGGGAATATTTTTCTTCTGGAGATGATGAATTATTGTTAATAATAGACTTTTTCTTTTGTTTTAGAAGGAATTAGTGAAATATGGTATCAAAGAAACATTACGTCTTATGTTATCGTATCTTATCTTATCATCTTTTGTAATATATTCTATTTTCAAAAATAATATTTTTTAAGCTATTTTGTTTAAGAATCAATAGGATAGCAAAATTAAAATAAACAATCATTGTAATCGAATCGTTAGAAGAGTGTATAACAGCGGCAAGTGTGCAATTATAGCGAATCTACCAATATTACGTCTCGCTGATTCCAGCATTCATCACGTACGTGCGATTTGCTTGTTTGAATCCAATCTTGTGGCTTTATTTACATAGTGACGCGAGCGTGCGCT